CCCTCACTCAGGGGACTCGGGGTCCTTTAGCCCAGAGGAGCCTCCTCCTCTTGGGCTCATCCCGGCTCCGTGGTCCCAGGCATCAGGGTTTGGAGTCAGCTCTATCCTCTGCCCTGCTCCCCCCAGAGCTCACACTCCGGCCTCTGAGCCCTGCCGGCTAGTGCGGGCAGTGCCTGGCAGCTCTGGGCTTCCTATTGTGGCCAAGACAGAGGTGCAGGTCACGAGGCTGTCCCTCAGTGGCAGCAGGTGAAGTCATTGTCCTGTTAGTGAACTGCAGTGGGGTATAGGACCCCTTCTGTGCCAACGCCAACTCATCTCTCTCTTTCTCCTTCCTCCCTCTCTCCCTTCATTTTTCTCTCGTAATCTTTTTTCTGTTCTTCCTTTCTCCCTCCCTTCTCTCTCTCTCTCTCTCTCTCTTTCCTTTTCTTCCTTCTTTCCTTTCCTTCCTTCCAGAGCCTCACACATGCAAGGTCTATACCTTACCACTGAAGCCACATCCCTGCCCCTAATCTCTGCTTTTTTCTTTTGGGGGTGATACCTGGCAGTGCTTAGGGGCTAGTCATGGCCCTGTGTTAGGGCGGGGAGGGGTTACTCCTGGCAATTTTTGTCTCCTTACCCCTTGCTTTAGACTTTAAGAGAGGTGTTTTTTTTTTAAAGTAACCCAACTGGGGATCAAACCGCATGCAAGGTCTTAACCCCTTTCCTCTCTGTCTCTGAATGCGCAAGAGCAATTTCTTCCTCCCTCCCTCCTTCCTTCCTTCCTTTCCTCTCCCCCCCTCTCGTTCTCTCTCTGTCTCTCATGCACGCACGTGAGCCCAGGGATTGGGGTGGTCACACCTGGCGATGTTCAAGGGTTACGCAGGAATCACTCCTGGTAGTGCTCAGGGGACCATATGGGGTGCTGGGGATTGAACCTGGGTGGCATCGTCAAAGCGAGCGGCCCTACCTGCTGTTGTATCTCTCTAGTCTCAAGAGTGATTTCTCTTAGGAGATTCCTTACAGCCTCGGACCAATTTAGGTCTTTGTGAGTGTTTTTTTTTTTTCCTTTTTGGTGGGGAGCACACTGAGGGATCATTCCCAGTGGACCCAGGTGACACCAGGATCAAACTCAGGTCAGTCGTGAGTGAGGCAAGCACCCGACCTGCTCTAGGCCCCCAGATCATTTAGAAGGTCTGTTTAAACTCTCTCATCCTCAGCTTTTGGTTTCTGTTGTGTGCCTTTGGACATGTCAATTTCCTTTCCTAAAGGCCTGGGGTCCAGACTGTCAGAAGGTGGGAGGCTATGTGGGAAGCGGTCAGGTGGACAAGGAGCAGCTACTGGAAATCAGAGCGAGCCCGTCAGATCTCCCTCACATGCCCCTTAGTGCTCAGGTCTTTGGGAAGTTCCCGATTCCTCAGGCCTGGGGGTGTCTCTGCACCTCCTAGTTGGAGGGGGGGACAAGGGACAGGCTGATCTGTCCAGGACACAGCCTCACTTTTGCAACATTTTGCTTCCTTCGACGACATTTTCCTCCTGAGGGCTCAGGGCAGTAGCAGAAACACAAGCCCCAGGCCAGCCAGGGCTCTGGGGTTCTTATGGGGTTCTCACAGGTCTGTCTAGGTCAGGGGAAGCAGCAGGGGCCAGTGTCTGAGTCACCTGTCATCCCTGCCCCCAGGGCTGCTCCCTATTGGGCTGAACTGGAGGCTGGGCAGTGTTGGGTGCTCCGGAGTCCCCACCCCCACTCTTCAGGAAATGAAGTGTTTTGTGATGTGCGCAGATCTTCTGGGGTTCCTGTGCCAGATCGGGAAGCCTGTTGCAGCAGGGAGGCTGGGGAGAACAGCAGCCAGATCATGTCTCTGCTTCCAAGAGGGGTTGCCGGCACCCTCCAAGGACCCAGGACCTGGGGCACTCAGATGGCTCAGCCAGGAAGGAGAGGGGCTGAGGGTGGGTTTGTCTGTGAGGGCTCGCTGTGATTGGCCACCACGGGGCTGAAGATGAACCACTCTGTCCAGAGGGACCTGGGTCAGAGGGCTCAGCTGGCTTGCGGGAAGGTAGGCAGGGAGGTAGGTGGCATCCCCGAGGTGCTCCCAGGCTTGAGGGGCAGAATGCAGAAACACTGCAGGGACCCTGAGGCTTCTCTGACTATAATCTCGGGAGCAGAATTCAGGACCCGTCTTCAGAGGAGTGGGTCAGCCTGTGAGCCTGTCCACGACTTCACAGGGGCTGTCAGCGCAGGAACGGGCGCTGGAGGCCACTCCAAGCGTCCAACCCGAGAGGCGAGTGGTGAGAGGAGGCTTGACGGCTCTCTCGCCTTTTCTCTAGGAGCCCCCCGCCCCCCTCCACCCAGCTGGCCGCGGGCCGCCTCTCTCGGTCCCAGACCGCGCCCCACCTGGCCCGGGTCTCGGCGAGGCTGGGGGACCCGACCGCGGCCCCGCGCACCGCCCGCGCGGGCGGGCCCTGACCCCGCCCCCGCCCCTCCATTGGGCGCTCATTTAAATGTCCGGCCCCGCCCCACGCGCCGGGCGCCTATAAAAGGGCGGCGCGGCGGGCGGCGGGCTGCATTCTGGCGCGGAGCGGAGCGGCGGTGGGCGCAGCTCGTGGGTCGGGCGCGGAGCGGGGGCGCAGCCTGGTCTCCCCCGACACCCCTCCCCCTCCGGCGCGAGCCCCACCCCTCCGCCGGCCAGACCGACCCAGCCGAACTCTCCGCTGCGGCGCGAGCCCGGGGCGGCTCCGGGCGCCCCCCAGCAGACCCCCCCACCATGGGCAGCCAGAGCTCCAAGGCTCCCCGGGGCGACGTGACCGCCGAGGAGGCAGCAGGCGCCTCTCCCGCGAAGGCCAACGGACAGGTGGGTGCGCTCGGCGCCGCCGGCCCCGGCCCCCGCCTCCCGCACCTCGCCCCCTCGAAGGGCCCGGGGCCGGGGCCGCGCGCTTTGTCCGGCCGGGGACACGCGGCGCCCCCTCCCCCGCCCGGTCCCTTTGTTCTCCGCGCCGCAGCCCCCGCGGGCGAAGCGAGGGGAGGGGCGCGGAGGGGGCGCCGGCCGGGCCCCGCCGCCTCCTTTGTTCGCGGCCCCGGCCCCCGGCGCTGCCCCCCGGCCGCCCCGAGCGCCGCGCGGGGAACAAAGGCGCTGGCGGGCCGCTCCGAGGGGGCGCTCGGGGGCCGCGGGGCGGGTGCCCGGAGGGGCGGCGCTGCGCCCGTGGACCCGACCGCGGTGGCCCACGTTTCCCCGCCGGCCCCCGGAGGGAGCGGAGATGTGGGGAGAGGCCGAGGTGGGTGGGGGCCCGTTCACACAAAGCGGGAGGCCGCGGGCGTGGGCCCGGCCAGGTACCCCGGGCAGCCGCGGGCCGGCTTCCCGCCCATTGTCGGGCGGCGCGGCCCGCCCGGGACCCGAAGCTCCGAGCGGCTGTTGGCGGAATCGAGCGCGCCCCGGGGGAGGGGGTGGGGGGCCCGGGGCCAGCGCCTCCTGCCGGCCGCGGCGCGCCGGGTGGGCCGGAGGGAGATGTTAGACGGGACCCGCGGGCGGGGCCGCGGCAGCCGGGCCTGAGCGCGCACTCCTCTGCCTTGCAGGAGAACGGCCACGTGAAAAGCAATGGAGACTTGTCCCCCAAAGGTGAAGGGGAGTCGCCCCCCGTGAACGGAACAGAGGACACAGCCGGGGCCGCTGGTGATGCCATCGAGCCCGCACCCGCTAGCCAGGGCGCCGAGGCCAAGGGCGACGCCGCCCCCAAGGAGACCCCTAAGAAGAAGAAGAAATTCTCGTTCAAGAAGCCTTTCAAATTGAGCGGCCTGTCCTTCAAGAGAAATCGGAAGGAGGGTGGGGGTGATTCCTCGGCCTCCTCGCCCACCGAGGAGGAGCAGGAGCAGGGGGAGATCGGTGCCTGCAGCGAGGAAGGCTCTGCCCAGGAAGGGGGGAAGGCCGCTGCCACCCCCGAGTGCCAGGAACCCCAGGCCAAGGGGGCAGGCGGAGACGCCGAGGAGGAGGCAGGGCCCCAGGCCGCCGAGCCGTCCTCCCCCTCGGGGCCCGAGAGTGGCCCCGCACCCGCCAGCGAGCAGAATGAGTAGCTGGGTGGGGGCAGGTGGGTGATCTCTGAGCTGCAAAAACTGTGCTGTCCTTGTGAGGTCACCGCCTGGACCCGGTGCCCTGGCTGCCTTCCTGTGCCCAGAAAGGAAGGGGCTGTTGCCCCCTCCCAGCCACGTTCCCCCTCCTCTCCCTCCTGTGGATTCTCCCATCATCCATCTGGCCTTCCTCCTGAGGCCAGTAGAAGGTGGTCCCTTGCAGTTTCCCAAGTTAGGTTAGTGACGTGAAATGCTCCTGGCCCCTCGCCCTCCCGCCCCCCTGTCCCGCCCCTGAAGGCAATTGCTGGTTTTCTCCCCCAGTTCTTTTCCAAGTAGGTTTTGTTTACTCCCCAAATCCCTGAGCCAGATGTGGGGTGCCTACACTCCCAACTCCTGAGTGTCCAAGCTTTCCCCCTGTTGCGTTTTTAGTCTCTTGTGCTGTGCCTCGTGGCACCTGGGCTGGTGCACACTGCCCCGTCTGGGTTTTTATAAATGTCTTTACTTACTCAAGTTCAAACCTCCTGCTTGTGAGTCAGCTCTCTTGGTAAGCAAGTATTAGGCTTTGGGGTGGAGGGAGGTCTGTAATGTGAAACAACTTCTTGTTGTCTCCCCACCCCCTCCCCTGCCCCCCACTCCCATTGTTGTAAATAACTTTTAATGGCCAAACTCCAGATTTGTACTTTTTTTTTTTTTCTAACTGCTAAAACCATTCTCTTCCACCTGGTTTTACTGTAACATTTGGAAAAGGAATAAATGTTGTCCCTTTAGTGGTGGTTTGTAATGAGTGGTCTTCTGTGGGCAGGGAAATAAGCTTGGTTAACCACGGGCCTGGTGGGATGGCTTAAGAAGTGTGTGTGGGGTCTTCTGTTCTGGGGGTTGTTTCGATCCTTCTACACCCCTTAAAGGTCAGGGCAGTACAGATGAGATGGGCCCAGGGATATGACTAGGAGACAAGGTGAGGAGGGTATAGAAATGTACCATTTTATTACAAAGATTTCACAAAAATGAAAATAGTATCTCAAAAAGAACTAGACTACCGATCTCCACTGCAGAATTGGGGGAGGAGAGGTCATGTGGCAGCTTCCAGGCTCACCTGGGGCCTGCAGAAAGGCATGAGAACAGCCAACCTAAAAATGGCTGATGCTGCTGTAACGAGCTGCAAAGCTCCCGAAGACAGTCACCCTATAGAATGCACTATAGGGGCACCTTTCCGAAGCTACGAAGCAGGCACTTGGCATTTCAAGATCCTGCCCTATGGCTGCTGAAGAGGCCCGCTTCCAGGCAGGCCAGCACCCTTTCCGAGTCGAAGTGAATGGGGAAACTGGCAGCAAGGCAGCTGAGAAGAGCTCATGGGCATGTGTGCCCTGGGTACAGGGTCTGGCTCCTTTCTAGTCCCTGTGCATAGTTATACTTAATATATTTTATATATAAATACACAGAAATAGAAAATATAAAATCTGAGGGGTTGTGGGAGAAGGGGGTGGTTTGGGGTGCGGGTGGGGGCTTGGCAAGAGGCCAGAAGCCTTAGGGATCTGCTCAGGCCAACTTCACCTCCTCCTTGACCCTGTGGAGAGAAGACACTGGCATGAGATAACCCGCCCAGAGTGGGGACAATGACATGCACAGGCCCCTGCCGCCCAGGTGACCGCAAGGGCTGGGGCTTCCTAGCTCTGCCTAGAACTGCAGGCAGACACGCTGAAAGAGGCCTTTATAGCTGGACCAGCTGTCCCTGTGCCTTCCTCTCCTGTGCCATGGGATAAAGGGCTGGTGCTCTGATGCCAGGGACACAGCTGATACACAACTTCCTCACCCTTTGACTTCTTGTTTCTCCTCGGCTTTCTCCTCTTCTGTGACTTCTAGAACATAAGAAGACAGAGACAGCTGAGAGAGTCCCTTAGAAAGACCCAAACCCCTTCTCCAACACTATACAGTTCACTGGACACACAAAAGAAAAAGCCCATCCCAGGTCCTCCCAATGAGCCTGTAAGAAGAAACCGGTCAGGCCGGTTTCCCAGCTCCCAGAGCCCAAGCCAGTGCACAGAGGCAGCCCCCCTGGGAAACTTGGGGAGAAGGGCTGGGAAAAGGGGCTGGTGGTATGTGGGAGCCAGGCTCCTGACCACAGGGAGCCCAGGCACGTCTCTGGCGCTGCAGCCTGGCAGGGCTCAATTGTCCAGTGAGGATAACTGCGTTTCCTTCTGTGGGCCCTGCCTGTCAAGAGCCTGGGAAGCGCTGGGAGGGCCCTGGCTCTGGGGGGGAGCCAGCTCCTTCCCCCCCATGGGCTAGCATGGCCCATGCACAGGACAGGCCCAACCCAAACCCACCTTTCTTCTCCTCTGGTTCTTTCTCTTTTTCATCTTCGGTTTTGACTCTCTTGGCTTTTTTGAAGTTGGAAGAGTTCTTGCGGCCACCCTCTCCCTCCTCCTCAGAGTCGGAGAACTCTTCCTCACAGGCAATTCGTTTGTCAGAGGAACAGACTGGGAGGCAACATAAAGCCATGGGTGACAATGGGGACCTGGGCCTGAGTGGGTACCAGGACTTCCCTGCACCTCCTCCAAGAGACACCAAAGTTAAGGGGGGAGGGAACTTGGGCTCCCCAAAGGGTGAGGAGCTTGGGGCAGAATATGGAGAGCTGCCCTGTGTGAGTCTTACTAGAGATGCGCTTGTCAGGGTCTTCTTCATCTTCATCGCCGCTCTCCTCCGGTATGGCGTCTTCAGGAATCGCCTGCATCTGGACCCCAGGGGCATGGGGCAGCATTCTCAGGTTCTCGAACAGTCGCTGTCTATGGCCAATGGTAGAGAGAGAGGGTGGCTGGGCTCCAGTTGGGGGCAGACAAGAGCTCAATAGAGGGGTGTCTGTGGATATACTCACTTGATCTTCTCCAGGTATTCATTAGTATTCTGGTTAGTCATATTGGAAGGACTGATGTGAAGTTTGAAATCTGGTCCAAAGTATTCAAAGTAGTCATTGTACGGAAGCTCTGATTGAAGTAGGAAAAAAAAAAAGGTCGTGAAACTTGCTCTCGTGGGATCCTTGAGCAAAGCATCTGTAAATTTAACTGAACTTGCCTATCCCATCTTCCAAACTGGGAAAAATACTTCCAACCTAGGGGATATCTGGGTCTACAAGACTTTAATCTTTATATTACTGTCACCATTTTGGGTTGGGGTACTATGTACCATGGACTTAATACAGGATTTTACACATGTGCTTGACCACTGAGCCTCATCCCTTGTTAGATTTCAGTGGTTTTAATGCCATTCTCTAGCACCCATACCAGAGGTGGAGATATACAGAATAGATAGGTACAGACAGATAAATTGCTCCAAGGAGAAGGCCCAAATAAATCTCTGGTTTAGAAATATTTAGACAATGCTTATGCAAACACGCCCTCTACTAGTTATCCTACAGAACAGAAATATCCAAAGCTAAAAACAACCACTAATCATTTTCTCCAGACCAGGAGCTGGAGGGAGAACACAGTGTGAAAGGACTGAGCAGAAACTGATGGCTATGGCGATGACTGCATCAGAAGGAGCAGTCCCATGACCAACACCAAGGGGTGAGTGGACCTGAGGACTTGAGTTCCAGCTGGAACCCAAGTTTCAGTTCCCCACCTGGCACCCAAGCTGTTACCATTGGGGATCTCGGTGTCCAAGGCCACAGCTGTTTCATATGTCCAGCACCGGGCAACATTGCGAATGGTATAGCCACCGCCTCCCAGCATCAGCATAGGCAGGTTGAAGCTCTTCACAAATTCCACACATTTGGCATGCCCTGGGGTTGGAGGCAAGGTGCTGGGTTACAGGAGCAGCCAGCAGATCCTGCCCATCAGCCCAGCCCCATGTTACCTGGTCTCACCTTTGATGGTCAGATTGAAACAACCTAACCGATCTCCAGACAGGGAGTCAGAGCCACACTGTAAGACGACCGCACTCGGCTGGAACATCTCCATCACTTTGGACATGACCTATGAGGACATATCCAGATGACTAACAGCCACAAGAAGAGCTATTTGGGATCACCACTCAGTGTGAGGGAGATTAGAAAGGAAGAGTGGGTGGTACAGGACAGGAGTACCAGCCTAAGGTGTCCATTTTTCCACTCTGATTCTAGTGCCCATTTCAAAGGATGTCAAACAGGCTTGCAGCTCCAGGGGCCTAGCAGTTAGGACAAGGGATGAAGCACACACATGTACAAGGCCCTGAAGTGTGATTCCCTGCAAGCCCCTCCTGTGGCATCACTGGGTGTTGCACCCTATCGACATCCTAAGTCTTTCTCTTCTTTCACTGCCCAAACTCCAGTGCCACTTCCTCTAGAAAGACTTTCCCCTTAGTTGATTTGGTCTACTCATTCGGTAGATATAAGCAATTTTATTTAAGTGTCATATAAGCAATAAGATATTGAGCCTTCAGGGACCAGAGATATAGTACAGTGGGTAGGGTGTTTGCCTTGCATGTGGCCAACCCCAGTTCAATTCCTGGCTTCCCACATAGTCCCCTGAACACTCAGGAATGATTTGTGAGTCCAGAGCCAGGATTAACCCCTAAGCATTGCCAGGTACTTCTGGTCCAAAACCAAAAAATTAATAAATAAAAAAGACATTGTGCCTTGGACCACAGAGATAATAGATGTCTACTACTGTACATGCAGTTGATCCCTTAGCACTACCAGGGGCTGGCGGTGGGGCGGTGTGTGTGTGTGTGTGTGTGTGTGTGTGTGTGTGTGTGGTGTGGTGTGGTGTGGTGTAGTGTGGTTCACTTGAGCAGAGGCAGGAATAGCTCCTAAGCACAGTTGTGTCTATCCTCTTCCTCCTATTCCTCCCCTTTCCAAATAAGACACTGAGCCATATTTTATAAGGAAGCACTTCACTTTTATATTTCCTATTCTCAGAATTACAGTCTAACTTGGCTGAGGACAGAGACCCTCCTCGGGCTCCCCTGTTATAGATAGGATAAAGCACAGAGCAGGTACTTGGTGTTTGCTGAATGACTACCTGACCTTCTTAGATCAACACTTTATTAGCGATTCTTTGTTGTTTAAAGGTAAAGATTTATAAGGCTTAAAGGCGAACTACTCAGCCTGCATTCAAGGCTTGTCTGTTCGGGTCACACCCAGTGGTGTTAAGGGGCTATTTATTCCCAGTAGTTTTAAAAAATTTTTGTGTGTGGGGGGGGGGCATTCCCAGATGTGTTCAAGGTTTACTCCTGGCTCTGCATTCAGGGATCACTCCTGGCAGGGCTGGGGAGACCATACGGGATGTCAGACATCAAGCCCAGGTTGGCTGCGTGAAGGCAAGCACCTTACCCACTGTGGTTCTCCAGCATGCAAAGCATGTGCTCCAATGCTAGGTCATTGCTATCCTTTGAGCTATGTCCTTGGCTGACCCTCAAATATTGAAATGCTGACCCTACATTCATTTCTCATCACATCTTTCAATTTTCCACACATCATACTAGCTACCAATGCTAGACTGTAACACCTCTACTTCACTGGGCCTGTTTCCCCTGCCAATCACCATTCTTCCCCTCCCAGTCCTCACACCGTTCTTCAGTGGATAACCTCTCATTTAGAAAACTGAAGCTCAAATGTCATTCCTGTGAAATCATCTCTGACTACTCTCCATCCAGCCCAAGCCAGAGTGATCCCAGGTCTCAGATACCCCTCAAAGACAGTACTGATCGCAAGGACAGGTATGTGCTGGGGTTCTTCAGGAGCACAGAACATGCCTTTTCGTTTTGGGGTTACACCCGGTAGTCCTCAGGGCTTACTCCTGGCTCTGTGCTCAGGAATCACTCCTAGTGGTGCCAGGGATCAAATGGGGGCCTGACACATATAAGGCAAGTGCCCTACCCACATAGCAGCACTATGACCCCATGTCTTTTTGTTTTGGCCACACCCAGCAGTGCTCGAACCTACTCCTGGCTCTGCGTTCAGGAACTACTTCTTGAGTAATTGTATGGGATGCTGGAGATCCAGCCTAGGTGGGCCATGTGCAAAGGGCCATTCCTGCCGTACTATCACTCTGGTCCCATGTCTTTTATTAAAAAACACATATTTCTGATGCTGGGGACCTAATCTGGGGTCACAAATGAGGTTCCCACTCTTACCACTGAGGTTTGCTCCCAAACCTAGATACATCTTTTGGATACTTTAGGAGATGAGGGCTCCCAAACAGTGCTTAGCGGGTCAAGGGGTCACTCATGGTGATACTGGTCAATCAGACAGGCAATTTGGTGCTTGGGTTAGAGGCTGTGGAGCTGCTAAGGTCCCATAATCCTGGGACCCCCAGAGTCACTGCAGCACTGCTCAGGGGAGAATCTGGACCTACGCCCCTGACCCCCAAGCCAGAGAGCTGGCTCCAATTTTTTTGTTTGGGGGTCACACCAAGTAGTGCTCAGAGCTTACTCTAGGCTCTGTGCTCAAGGATTTACCCCTGGTGGTGCTTGAACCAAGAATGCCTGTGAACAAGACAAACACCTGATTCCTATACTATCTGAGCCCCTCATAATATTCTTTTGTTGGGGGCCACACCCAGCAGTGCTCAGGGTGGGTCTGCTCTTGTTGCTGCCCTCGGGGATCACTCCTGGAGGGGCTATATTGTATGTGATGCCAAGGATCGAACCAAGGTCGGCTTCGTGCCAGGCAAGTGCCCTACCTGCTGTCCCACTGCTCCGGCCCCATTATAATATTCTTAAATGTAACATCTGGCCCTCAGAAGACAGCAACAAATCACTGTCACTGTCACTCCCATTGTTCATCAATTTGCTTGAGCGGGTCCAGTAACACTGTGAGACTTGTTGTTACTGTGTTTGGCATATTGAATACGTCATGGGTAGCTTACCAGGCTTTGCCATGTGGGTGAGATACTCTCGGTAGCTTGTTGGGCTCTCCAAGAGGGGCAGAGGAATTGAAGGAGGAGGAATCAAACTCGGGTCAGCCGGGTTGGCCATGTGCAAGGCAAACGCCCTACCTGCTGTGCTATCGCTCCAGCCCACAACAACAAATATTTGGATGAATTTTGTTCCTCTCACTGACCACAGAGCATGCAATTCAGGACTGAAAGGCACCTTACCAGCCTTTCCGTGGAGAGGCCCCAGAGGCACCATGAGGGTGCTTTGTTATTTAACACTCCCTCCCTTCGACTGATCCTGTCTTGTAGCCCAGGTGGTGGAAAAATCACTTACCGGCTTGAAAATGGCCTCATAGGACTCATCATCAATCCCATCACGGAGCGGGTAGTTAACAGCGTAATACTTGCCTTTGCCGGCCCCAATATCCTAATCGAGAAGAATAGTACGGTAAAAGTGGAAGACTAAACAAGGAAAAACTTCGGATAAAAGAGGATGCAAAGCGGTGGTTCTACGCAAGTGATGCTGGGGACAGGAGGCACGTCAGGGACAGAACTGGGGGACTGTCCGCTGGAAAATCCACTGGTGGCAAGTCCCGTTCACATCTCTGGACAGACTGGGACCTGTTAATAGGGCGTGAGTGATGAATTTTCCCCACAGCTCACACGGTCTTCCCTGGGGTAGGTAACAACAATAACACACACTCCCACAACTTTGTTTTCTCAGGGCTTCCTGCTCACTGCCCCCCTCCCCTCTGCCAAGAGTCATCAAAGAGGCAAGTTCTTTGAAATTGAGAATGTCCAATTACACTAATGTTGGTCATAGTGAACAACTAAATTGGTGTCACTTTATGGAGCCAGGACAGTATAGTGGGTAGAACGCTTGCCATGCATGCGCCCAACCCAGGTTTGATCCCCAGCATCCTATTTTGTCCCTAGAGCACCACTATGAGTACTCCTGTGTGTAGCACCAGGAGTATCCCCTGAGCAAAATCGGGTATGACCCAACAACTAAATAAATTGGTGTCATTTTTTCACCAAAGGGTCTAAACGCTATGATCAAAGGGCTCGTTTCATAGTGTGTTAATAGAAGCAGTTAATGAATTAGCTTCTGAGGACTCTTATCCTGAGGTCTACAGATTTGACCATCAGGAAAGGTCAGTATCTCTTAATAAAAAATATCCAATGCCAAGGTTCATGTGCTTTTTTTAGGGAGAGAGCCCATAGCTTTCAGATGGTCAAAGGGAAAGGTGCTCTATTAAGAAAGCTTGAGACGGTCTATAATGTCCCCATCCTAGGCCATGGGAGAGCACCTGCCATTTTAGGCCCCAAACTCAAACAGTTTACGTCCAAAGCCATATGGGACATCTGAATGGTGTAATGCAACTTTGCTGTCGAAAGTGCCATGAGTCAGGAGACTACTGTTCCTCCTCATCCTTATGCCCCATCATTCTCTTCCTCCAGAATTATGAAGGGAAAGAGATAATGAGCAGTGCCCCAGACTGGGGTATGGTGCTCTAAATGGCAGAAGAAAGTGGGTTTGGGAGACACTGAATAGGAGACAGAGCTGGCAGCTGAAGGCGAGCTCGTTGGCAGGGAGTTCTCACCCGTAGGTCCCCCGTTCCTGGGAAGTATTCTCCGTATTTATGGAAGGACACAGTCATAACCCGGTCTGTGGTGTAGAAGGCCTCCTCCACGCCGTCGCCATGGTGAATATCAATGTCAATATACAGCACCCTCTGGTGATACCTAGGATCAGAAGAGGGTCAGGGGCTCTGGGGGCTCTCTGGGAGTGGGACGCGCCAAGGGCGCTAGGTCCCAGCTTACCAGGCTGGCTGCCTCCCTCAGGTATCTCTAAGCACCAGAGACGTGGAAACTGGCTGAAGGAAGGTGGAAGAGCGGCAGGGTTTCTCCAGAGGCCTGACCAAGCCGACCAAGTCCGATCTTCCTACTCTACAGCCAGGGTCAACTCCAGCCACACAGGGACACTCTGGAGGCAGGATCTGAGCAGCCCCTGCCTTGATCTTGCCGTGGGCTCAGATCAAACCAAGACCCCGTCAAGGAGAGGATGGCCAGAGACACTCACCGGACACATCCTAGCCAGCACACCGCTAGGAAAAGCAAACTAGGGAAGCAAGCCCAGGGGAGAGGGGAGAGGGAACCTGGCCTAAGGTGCTCCTCCAAGAGACAAGGCCAGGCAGGCATACTTGAGCAGCTCCAGGATGGCCAAGACGATATCGTTGACGTAACAGAAGCCAGATGCCTCAGACTTCTTTGCGTGGTGCAGGCCCCCGGCCCAATTCACAGCGATGTCCGTCTGCTGCTTATTAAGTTTCACAGCACTTGCTGGGTGAGGGAAGAGAAAGCAAGCCTGTTACCAAGCCGCTCCCCCAGCCAGCCCTAAGCAGCTCACTCAGAGACAGATCTGCCTTACTCCATAGCTGTATTAAACCATTCAGGCCACCCTCTCCCTCCCACCTATTCTAGCAGTACTGGCTACTTTAAGAAAGTTGTTTTCCAAACTGAGAGTAGTAACCTATCATTAAGCCTTACATTACTTATACTTAAATGAAAATTGACAAGAATAAAAAAAATCTATGTAAGAGTACAATAATTGCGCTACTGTGAGATTCTGGCGTTAGAGGTAGTGTGGGTGTGTGAACGTACAACTTGGACTGAAAGTATAAATTTATTGTGGTTTACTATCAAAATTTTTGATGACAAAAGTTAGCAGAGGCTCAAAGAATAAATAGGGTCAAGCTCATTTCTGAGCAAAACTCTAATATCAATAAAAACATAGGGCAATCTAGATGATCAGCTGTGTCCACTAAGTAGGTCCATAACATGGGCTAAATATATAGTCACTAGAAATTGTGTTCTAGATAAGGTTTTTTTTTTTGGTGCTGGGAAGAAAAATGTTTACTAAGTTAAATGCATAAAACTATGTACTTGATAAGATGCATTTCTTCCCAGAACTTATATACACAGAGAAAAGAAAGGATGTACAAACACCAAAATAGTACAATGGCTCTCCATGGACAATGTGACTACGGGCAATTATTTTCCTTCTCTACTTCCTTGTTTTTTGACATTATATTGGGAGGCCAGGGGAGGAGGGGTAGAGAGAGAAAATAAAGGCAACAGGAGAAAATATTCATTAAGAAAGGGTTTTGGGTAGTAAGAATTAATTAAATGTCTCCTGAAGTCACTTAAGATGAGAATGAAAATTGTGGGGAGTATTCTGACCTCCAAATGCAATTACCATGCTCTTTTGCGAGACACAGATGTTGACACTTCCTGTTTTTATAGCACTTTGCAGTCCACAAATTGGTAGTATGTATAGCATCTCAACAAGCCCATGAGGTCTGCAGGGAATTCCTGTGTATAAGATCTCTAAGTAGGAGGATAGTCAAGGACACCTTCAGTACCATGTCAGATTAAACCTAGTATGAGACTGATTTATAAGGACACTTTAAAGACTTACGGTGAAAATTTACAGGCCCATCTGATGTGGGCACAGATCAGCCCTGCTGGGCTAGTGGCAGCCTGCAGGCCAATCTCACTAGTGAAGAACAGCAGAGAGCTCAGAAGGGAATTTCTTACCCACAGAGCCACCAGTAGATAACTGACAGAACTCAAACAGCCCATCGAACACTGGACAGTCCTCACCAACATTGACTGAAAGGAAATAAGCAAAAGATCAATTTCCATAACTTCCTTTAGTTTTTATTTACATAATTATAAATAACTGAGGGGAAAAAAACTCACAAAATTTGGAATCAATGGGTTGGAGTACAAGCTTGGCAGTTACGAGGACCAGATTCACCCCGACGTGCCAAGCTGGGAGCAGCACTGCATAACACCAGGTGTGACCCCCAAAAAACAAACAAACAAACAAACACTGTTCTCCCATTGTTCATAGATTTGCTTGAGCGGACCCAGTAATGTCTCCACCTTGAGACTTGCTGTTATTGTGTTTGGCATATCGAATACGTCACGGGTAGCTTGCCAGGCTTTGCCGTGCAGGTGAGATACTCTCAGTAGCTTGCTGGTCTCTCCGAGAGGGGTGGAAGAATCGAACCCGGCTCGGTAGGGCTGGCTGCATGCAAGGCAAATGCCCTACCACTGTGCTATCACTCCAGACCCCCAAAAAACAAATCAAAAAATTTTGACTCAGCTTTTAAGCTTGGGTTCTAGGCAGGGTCTGCTACTTACTGGCTGTGTGATTGGGTCAGGCCAGTAACTTCTCTGAGCTCTTGTCCAGTATCTTTTTTTCTTTCTTTTTTTTTTTTTTTTGGGGGGGGGTCATACCCAGCAATGCTCAGGGGTTACTCCTGGCTCTGCACTCAGGAATTACTCCTGGCAGTGCTTGGGGGACTATATGGGATGCTGGAGATCGAACCCAAGTGCAAGGCAAACACCCTACCCGCTGTACTATCACTCCGGCCCCATTATCTTTTCTATGGCGGAGCAGGATGTGGTTGGGGGTGGGGGATTTGGGCCACACTCAATGGTGCACAGAGGACCATATGTGGTGCTGAGGAAGGCTGGCCACCTGCAAGGCAAATACCTTACTACCTCTACTATCCCGGGCCCATTATCTTTACCAAGCAATCATTATCTACCTCACCCAATTGTTGAGAAGATGAACATTATTTTTTTTTTAGATGAACATTATTTTTACACGAAGACACATTTAACAGCAAATAAATACTTGGAAAACATTAGTCTGCCCCTTGAGGGAGAAAAATTTATCCTCTTATGTCTGTCTGGGTTTACTGACCAATAAGGAAGTGAAGAACAGAGATCTATATAAGTACCATTCACAGAACACTTACCAACAGTCCATCACTAAGCTAAATGTTTTAAACACTCAAAATAATTTATCTTCTGACGCTTCGGGTTCGATTCCCAGCATCCCATATGGTCCCCTGAGCACCACCAGGAGTAATTCCTGAGTGCATGAGCCAGGAGTAACCCCTATGCAAAGCTGGGTGTGACCCAAAAAGAAAAAAAAATTATCTTCTGGGGTAGGATCTGGTCTGATTACATAAATGGGGAAACTAAATCGGAAAGAGGAATTAGTAATAAATGACAGAGGCAGTATTTTATATGCCCTATGGTGCTAGAGAAACAGTTCAATGGCCTAGAATACATTCTTTACATGCAAAGGTCCAGGTTTGATCTCGGGCACCATATTGTGCCCTAAGCACCCTCAGAAGTGACCTCCAATCCCTGAACCAAAATAGTCCCTGAGCACTGGTAGATAAGGTAGATATCAACCCACTGTGACAAAAACAGATATGGAGAAGTTGAGTGATTTGTCCAAAATTATATAACCATACAGTATGAACCAGACTGACAGCCTGGGTGTTTTGAATCCCACAGTCTAGTGCTTTTGCTACTTATGTCCACAAGTGACAATTGAAGAAAAGTTATTTCTAGGCCTAAAGGTATAAAAATACAAACTAATACATAATGTGGAAACATATGCAAACAATAATGCAAATGAAAAAGCAGAAAGGGAAGCACACTTGAAGGTTGGAGATTCACACAACTAGACAGAAACCTAATGGTTCCAAACTGTCTTTCACTGAAACAAAAACTATGAGACAGCAATGATACACAGCAAGTCAGAGGTTGAGGCAGGGCTAGAACCTTATATTCTTGCTCCAAGCTCCCCACTGTACCCACTGTTATCAGTAAGGGTCCCCCAAAAGTACCAGGTAGAGGAGTCCTGAACAGGAGGCTTGGATTGTCGTAGCTGTCCAGCTTGGACTGTGGTAACTGACTGAGACCCACCTACAGCACCAGGTTTACAATAACTAAAAGAGTCACCAATTTGGGACCAAGGACAGCACGCAAAGGGCTGAACATATTTTTTTGCATGCAGGAGGCCTAGGTTTGATACCCAGCACCGCATGGTTCCCCAGCTAACCACAAGGATGAGCAATGAGCAAGGAGTAGCTGCTGGGTATGGTCCAAAGAGCAAAACTTGCAAGAAGTTGTCCTAATTTGGTACCCTGCCAAATAGGTGCTCCGCTGGAGAATGGCACTGAGAGGCTGTGTCATAAGAACTTTGATCCCAGGGCCCAAACTATTCATCCACTGATAAATAACACCCACTGTTGGCTGCATCCTCCTTTAGTTGGTTTAGCCTGTTTCCAGAGAAAGCTTTGCTTTGATTCCCAGTTGGAATGTGGAGCCTCCATAAGAGGAAATTGGTGTTTTGAGTTATAAGGAAAAAAAAGGTTTTTTGGGTTGGAGCAATAGCACAGCAGGTAGGGCATTTGCCTTACATGCGGCAGACCTGGGTTCAATTCCCAACATCCCATAAGATCCCCTGAGCACTGCCAGGGGTAATTCCTGAGTGTAGAGCCAGGAGTAACCCCTGTGCATCGCTAGGTATGACCCAAAAAGCAAAAAAAAAAAAAAAAAAAAGTTTTCTTTAGGCCAAAGACTAATATGTGATCCAGTGGCCAGCCCTTCCATTCCCCGTTCCAGAAGACACATGATTAAAGTTGAGAGGAAAAACTGAGAGCAGATCCTCATCTGTGCGATTAGGGAGAACTTCAGGGAGATCCAATGGGTCTCCCCTCTTCCATTTTTCAATTTCCCCCTTCTATGTTTGCTGCTGTTATGATGACCAGGGTTCCCACACAGTCAGCAGTGGTACTTGCACTCTGATTTGCCATGCCCCAGAAAATTGCTCACTTAGTTGTGGCAGTGGGGGTCACAGATGGCAATGCCACCTGAGTCAGGGTTGGCATGTGGGGTGATAGTGAGGATCAAACTGTAGGCCTCGTGCTTGCAAGATACTCTAACACAGACTTGTCTTTGGGTTCCTCTTTCTTCCTCCTAAAATACTTTATAATTGTATTGGTAATACTTTCTTTCTTAGGCTACAGGGTTAAGAAGGGTTGGTCCATCCCTAAACCTCATCCTACTTCTCTGGCAACGTTTCCCTCCAGTGATTCCTACTGAAAGTTTGAGAATCCTTACTGTCTTTTGTATTTTCTCACATCATTCATTCAGTGGGAAATAAAATCCTTTTGGTCCAGCTTGTAAAACAACAACAAAAAAGAAGGGTTGGTACATGGATTTTGGGGGGGAGAGGGAGGAGCAGGAACCACAACAGTGGTGCTCAGTGCATATTCCTGGTTCTGTGCTCAGGGATTACTTCTGGCAAGGGACCATTTATAGTGCCAGGGACTGAATCTGGGTTGGCTGTGTGCAAGCCAAGGGCCCTACCTGCTCTGGCTCTACATGCGTTTTAAAAACATATTTCTTTTGCTGGGAGAGGGAGAGATTTTATTTTTGGGCCACATCTGGCAGTGATTAGGGGCTACTGCCAGTACTCCAGAACCAGGAGACTGACATTCCATTTTCCCATGGCTGTGCTGCACCACTAGGGGAAAGTCTTTTCCTCCCTGGGTCTCAGTTTAGATATCTATGAAAGGGATACGACTATCCTTTTTTTTTTTTTTTTAAATTTTTTTAATAGTGAAACACCATGAGGTACAGTTGTAGACTTACAAATTTTTGTGCTTGGATTTCAATTATACAATGATCAAATATCCATCCCTCCACCAGTGCCCATTTTCCACCACCACCGGGTCCCAGTATCCTTCCCATCCCCCATCCCTCCATCCCACCCTGCCTCTGTGGTAGGACATTCCCTTTAGTTCTCTCTCTCTCCTTTTGGGTGTTGTGGTTTGCAAAAGACACGGAGTGGCAACCATGTTTGGTCTATAGTCTACTTTCAGCATGCTTCTCCCATCCTCGGAGGATCCTCCCAACACTCTTTATTTGGTGCTCCCTTCTCTATCTGAGCTGCCTTTTCCTCTAGCATGTGTGGCTGGCCTCCAAGCCATGGAGCAGACCTCCTGGTACTAATCTTGGCCCCTCTTGGGTGTTAGTCTCCTATTTTGTTACTTTATGTTCCCCAGATGAATGCAATCTTTCTATGTCTGTCTGTCCCTCTCTTTCTGAGTCATTTCGTTTAACATGAAACTTTCCATGTAGTACCACTTGTATATAAATTTCATGACTTCATTTTTTCTAACAGCTGCATAGTATTCCATTGTGTAGATGTACCAGTTTCTTTAACCAGTCATCTGTTCTTGGGCACTCAGTTTTTTTCCAGATTCTGGCTATTATAAAGAGTGCTGCAATGAACAAACAAGTGCAGATGTCACTTCGACTATACTTTTTTGCCTCTCTCAGATATATTCCCAGGAGTGATATTGCTTGGTCAAACAGGAGCTCAATTTCTAATTTTTTGAGAATCGTCCATACTGTTTTCCAAAAAGGCTGAACCAGTCAGCACGAGTATCCTTTTCTTACCCCATTAATTTCTTTTTATCATGTCTCTACTATACATTTCACATTCAGATATCTATAAAAAAAATTTGCTTATGTTCACATTTCTACTTTTGCTAATGAAATATTAATTAAGGCTTCTGATGGTTTTTCTTTTGGCACAAGTAATGATCTGGGGCGATACTGCCTGGGTGTTCAAGGAGCACACCTGGAGCTGCTCAGGGTACTAAGTAGAACCAGGGTTCAAACCCAGGTTTTACACTTCAGTCCTTTGACTTATCTCCCATAATGACACCTATTTTTTTTTCTGCTTTTTGGGTCACACCCGGTGATGCACAGGGACTACTCCTAGCTCATGTACTCAGGAACCACTCCTGCTGGTGCCCGAAATCAAACCCGGGTAGGCTACGTGCAAGGCAAACACCCTACCCAATGTGTTATCGCTCCAGCCCCCACCTAATTTTTTTTTAAGTAAAAACCGATTCTATTTGGAAGTTCTAAGGAAGTGTTTGGGGGAGAAAGAGACAGTGAGAGAAACATGACTAAGAGAAACACGGGCTTTTCCAAAGTGGAGAGAGTCTCAAGAGGGGAGATGCAGGCGACACAAACCAAGCAACACAGGCGCCTGGTGACACATTAGGTCACAAAAGGAGGAAGAGGAAGGAAGGGAGGTCAGGTTGGGAGGCACAGACCTAAATAGCAGGGTTAAAGGATTCATCAAAGCTCATTTTCAGGACCGACCCAGGTTCAATCCCTGACATCCTATATGGTTCCCCGAGCACTGCCAGTAGTAATTCTGCATGAATAGTTAGGAATAATGCCTGAGCATCACCAGGTGTGACCTCAAAGCCAGAAACAAAAACAACAAAACAAAACAAAATCATTTTTTAGTCTCAATACCAATTACTCTTTAACAAGTGTCTTCTGGCCAGAAAGGGCATGTATATGGGAAAAGTCACTAAGTACCTGAAAGATGTGCACTCTGCAGAAATCATGTGTGCCCATGCAGCATTACAATGGTGGCACTGGTAGGTGCCATCCAGACCAAATAAACAAACCAGAAAGAATGCTGTATTTACCAGCCATGATAAAAATACAGAGAGCAATGCTAAACTGAAGGGTTTAGATGGAGATTCTCTAGTTATTGAGCATATCCTGGTGAAGAGAGGCCCAGATGCACTGCACAACAGAGATTCTTGGGTAGACTAACCCAACATGTGTTTTTCCTGACACACTGAGAGGACCCGTACTGAAAAAGAGCAGATTGTTCTGAAACCTGGAGAGGCGGTTGCACATGAGGAAAAGATACATCACAGAAGAAAACAGAGGCAAAAACTTATGGTCTGGGGATAAACTAGGCATAAAATATACAGAAATCTAAGCAAAAACTAATAATAACTAAAAAAAATAAACTAATCAAAATGTCTGGACAGTGTTACCATATAAGATCCTGATGTCAGGGACGGGACCCAGGTTGGCTGTATGTAAGGCAACTGCCCTACCTGCTCCAGCCCTCAATCTCGACCTTTAAAATTAGGGAAAAGCAGACCCAAGAAAAGAAGCAGCACTCTGGCACCTTTGGAAACAGGAAGTCAAGTGTCAGCTGAATGAGAAGTGATAAAGAAGGCAGGGCAGTCCTACTAACAAACAGAAGGGAGATCTGGGACTGGGGTGTGGCTCAGTGGTACAGCAGCTGAGCAGACATTTGATAGTAGAGACTTGCACATATGAGGACCCGGTCTGATTTCTGGCACCACTGGGAGTTACTCCAGAGTACTGAGTGTGGTTCAGCTCCACAGCACCCAAAAACCAGTAGGATTTAAGGGAAAAAAAAAATCCAATTGTATCCAACCCAGGCCTTCAAAATAAGGAAAATAGGGTGAGAACAGATAGAACTTACATCTCTGCATCTGCTTGCTGTACTCAGACATGTTATCTGGACGGATGGAACGCAAAAATTTAATGTAGTCATCACTGTGGTATTTGGTCATCTCCTCAGCATTTGCCTTGTGAGGGCGCTGGAGGGCAGAAGGGAGAAAGGACATGTTATTTCTTAATGCCAGTCTTCAGTCTATCTAGTCTGAACATTTATGTTCTGCCCAGTATTGAGACAGGTGCTATAAAAGATAAAAAAGAAATTATTGGAGCTGGGGAGAATGGCTCAAAGGACTAGAGCACATTCATCTGCATGTGGGAGCACCAGGTTTGATGATCCACCAAAAGCATAACTGGGAGTGACCCTAGAGAACTCCGAGAGTGCTCAGGGCACACTTAGTGGTGCTCAGGGCTTACTTCTGGCTCAAGTAGCATAAATAATCTAATTCTGTGATGGTTATATTTAAATAAAATAGTCAACAAACTATCAACTAGAATTGTTCAACTATCTCACGAAAATCTTTTTTAAAAACTCCCAAGGGAAAAATAAAAACTCCCAAAGAATGAAGCTGTTTTATTCAATAGGTAAAAGATAGCCACTACAAGCAATATTTAAACTATTCCTTGTATTTTTTTTTTTAAACAAAGGCCTTTACTTCAATCGACTTCCCTTGACTAAAACTCTGACTATATTCTGTGGTCTTGATAACACCGATTTTCAATTGTCTCCAGTTGGGTTTTTTCCCCTTTCCTTCTTTTGTTATAGTTGTTTTGGTTTTGGGGTAACTTTTGGTGGTGCTTGGGTTCTACCACGGAGTCAGTGCTCAAATCCAGGGACTCCCCCATTTGACTCATGCACCATCTTTCAGGTCCCCTTTGTTCTTACTGTTGAGTGTCTGGGGGGGGGGGGGGGTGTTAGGCTTGCTGCAGTGCCAGGGCAGCACATTGGCTGCGCTACTCGTCAGGGATCACACACCTGAACGTGGTGCTTCAATACATGGTTGTGGTGCTCTAAGAGTTAACACTTACAGTGGTTCCAGGGATCACACTGGGGGACATGGGGGATAACCAGGGATCAGACCCAGAACCTCACACATAAAAGGCAGACATTCTACTACTGAACCACCAGGTACTATTTTAAATGTCTGCTTTAATTCCCCTGTTGGCTAGCAGCTGCTTCATCTAACCTCTAAATGTTTGAGGCTTTTCTGATCCCCCCTCCGACTTTTCTGTGCCCCACCTGGCAGTGCTCAGGGGTTATTCCGGACTCTGCACTCAGGAATCACTCCTGATAGTCTAAAGGACCATATGAAATGCTGGGGATCGAAGCACCTTACCTTCTGTGCCATTTCTCTGGCCCCACTGATTTCCTTTCCTTTTCTTGTTTTGTTTTGGGTCACACCCAGCAATGCTCAGGGGTTTCTCCTGGCTCCGTGCTCAGGAATTACTCCTGGCGGTGCATATGCCAGAGATCAAACCTGGGTGAGCAGCCACATGCAAGGCAAGAGTCCTAATCACTGTACTATCATTTCAGCAGCTCCGACTAATTTTCTTGTGTGGTAAAGTTCTAATTTTATAAGCAGCATGATCATAAAAACGCATGACATAATTTAAATCTTTATTTTAATTTTTAAATTAATTTTTAAATTTAATCACTGTGAATTACAAAGCTAAAAAGATATCTGTGACTGAATTACAGGCATACAATGTTCTAACACCAATTGCTTTACCAGTGTCCACTATCTTCCACCAATGTCCAGAATTTCCCTCCCAACCCCCAGCCTGCCTCTGTGGCAGGCACATTTCCCCTCCACCATTGCCCTAGTATTCCCCTTCCCTAACAAGTTGCATCCTTCCCTTCAATCTTTAAACTTCAGAGGCAGAGCATCACCAGGTGTGGCCCCAAAACAAAAACAAAAATAAATAAATAAAATTCATTAAGTCTGCTGATACTTGTTGTATGCCCCGGTATATCGCTGTCACTGTCCTCCCGTTGTTCATCGATTTGCTCGGGCGTTCCCAGTAGCATTGTGAGACTTGTTACTGTGTTTGGCATATCGAATATGTCACGGGGAGCTTGCCAGGCTTTGCCGTGCGGGCGAGATACGCTTGGTAGCTTGCCGGGCTCTCCAAGAGTGGCGGAGGAATCAAACTTGGGTCAGCCATGTTGGCTGTGTGCAAGGCAAACGCCCTACCCGCGGTGCTATTGCTCCAGCCCACCCCAGTATATAATCTATTATTTATTTATTTATTTATTTATTGGTCATACCCAGTGATGCTCTGGGGTTACTCCTGGCTCTGCACACGGAAATTACTCCTGGTGGAGCTTGTGGAGTCATATGGGATGCTGGGGATCAAACCTGGGTTGACCACGTGCAAGGCAAACACTCTACCCTCTGTACTATCACTCCAGCCCCCTAATCTATTATTTTAAAAAAGTTCCAAGAGAGACTTGGGTTTGATCCCCAGCAACTACATAGCCCCCTGATTTCACCAGGTATGGGCCTGGTGGTCACCACAGCAGGACCTGAGTACTGATGTATGGGCCCAGTTGACTGAGTATCACCAGGAGTGAGCACAACTTGGGAGCAACCCCAAAATAAATAAGGACTAGAGAGAGTTCAATGGGTTGCGTATGTACCATAGTACATACACTGAGGAAGCCCAGCTCAAGCCACCAGTCTACTATATACTCCAAAACCAAAAGTAAATCAATACCCAGTTAAATAAATACCTTGCAGTTTGGGGCTACTCTTGGCTCTGTACTTAGGAATCATTGCTAGCAGGCATTGGGGGAATCATACAGGATGCAGGGGATAAAACTCAGGTGCTGTGTGAAAGGCAAGCACCCTACTTGCTGTACTATCTCCCTAGCTCCACAGCATAAAAATATTTAAGTAAGAGGGCTGAAGCGATAGTACAGCGGGTAGGGCGTTTGCCTTGCACGCAGCCGACCTGCATTCAATCCCCAGCATTCCATATGGTTCCCCCAAGCACTGCCAGGAAGTAATTCCTGAGTGCAGAACCAGGAGTAACCCTAAGCATCACTAGGTGTGATCCAAAAAGAAAAAAAAATTACTAAGTGGATAAACAGCAAAGCAAATTTTTACTTTTTTTTTTTTTGCTTTTGGGGTCACACCCGGTGATGCACAGGGGTTACTCCTAGCTCTGCACTCAGGAATTAATCCTGGCAGTGCTCAGGGGACCATATGGGATGCTGGGAATCGAACCTGGGTTGCCCGTGTGCAAGGCAAATGCCCTACCCGCTGTACTATTACAGCCCCCAAATTTTTAAACCTTTGTTTTCACTTTGGGTTTCTGGGCCACACCCAGCAGAGCTCTGGAGATTATTCCTAGCTGTGTGCTCAGGGTTCCTCCTGGCAGTGCTCTGGGGATTCATCTGATATCAGGGATCAAATTGCAGTCAGCTGCCTGAAGGAAAGAGCCTTAACTTCTATACTATCTCTACAGCTCTATTTATTCTTGTTTTGTTTTGTTTGGGTTTCACCTGACGAGGAATTACCCCCGGTAGTGCTCAGGGGACCATATGGGATGCCAGAGATTGAACCCAGGTTGGCAATGTTCAAGGCAAGCACCCTACCCACTGTACTATCTCTCTGGCTCTCTATTCTTTTAAACAGAGGCACTTAAAGGGAGCCATGAAGTGCTGAGGACTGAACTCAAGACCTCATGCTAGGGAAGTGCCTTACTACTTGAGCTTTCTCTACCAGCGCAATAAGAAAAAAAAAAAAGGAAAGAGAAAAAGAAAAATGAGTCAAGCATGGACCATTGATACTTAACATACACTCCATGTATCTAAGGTCCAACTGAAAACACAAGACTGAAGAGACAGTATAGGAGGTAAGACACTTGCCTTGTGCACTGTCAATCTAGGTTTGATCCTACATATGGTGGGAGAAGAGCCAGAAGTAAGTCCAGACCACTACCCACAACCAGGTATGGTCAAAAACAGAAAACAAACAAACAAAAAAAGGAACCATGTTCCAGAATGTTCACAGCCAAGAGTGTCTGTCATGGTCAAAAATAGGACTTTTTAAAAACTGAAATAAGCCAAATGCCTTTTAAGTAATAAAAGGGAAAAAATGTAGTGGTTTTTCAGATGTACCAGTTAAAATAAATACAGCTGCATGCACCATGTCTATTTCTCATAAAAATATGCCAAAAATAGTTCAATAATAAATACCAGACTGGCGATACAGTACCAGGGTAAGTACTTGCCTTGCATGCTATCAATCCCTTTTCAATCCCCAGCAGCACTGTATATGGTCCCCTAAGCACTGCCAAGGGTGACTCCTGAGCATTACCCAAAAAGGACAAATAATAAATACCCTATGGCCCCATTTCTGTAACAGTCATGCATGTGAAAGTAAAACATATATAAAGTATATATACTGGAGAGGCTGGAGAGGTAGCTCAGGAGCACATACTTTACATGAAGGCGCTCTGGGTGTGATTCCTAGCAACACATAGTCCTTTGAGCATCACAGTACATGGCCTAGCCCTCAAAAAGGGAAACTATCAAAAACAAAAGAACTAAACTCAGGGCAGAGCTTAACTCTAGGGAAAAGAGATAACATCAGGGCATAAAGGAGCTTTTCCCGTCGCGAAAATGTTTCTTTAAACTAAATGGTAGGGATAGAGCAGGTAAAGAATTTGCCTTGTATGTGGCCAACCTAGGTTTGATCCCCAACACCACATACGGTCCTCTGAGCCCCTCCAGGAATGATCCCGGAGCACACACATGCTAAGTCCACCGGGTGTGACCCACCACTACCCACAAAATAAATAAATAAATATCTTATCCAATGTTTTTTTGTTTTGTTTTGTTTTAGGGGCCACAACTGAGAGTACTGGGGGTAAGTCCAGCTCCGTGTTCAGTGCCAGGCTCTAGGCTCTGTGCTCAACTATGTGGTAGCCCCTGGAAGCATTTAGGTGACCACGGGGTATTGGGGATTGAACCACTGAGCTATCTTCGCTATCTTCCTGGCATCAACATACTATTTTGGGATCTTGATTGACCTCTGAGTATAGCCTCAACCACCTTGATATTAATAAATCACGGGTAAATGGGAAATAGTGAGATTTCGCTTTAGGAGTCTCTAACACTATCACCACATGGATT